GAAATGAAGTTGTGTATGCAGACTTCCTTCTTCTCTTGTTTGCTCTCGGGACTCCCATTTTGGACGACCGAAGCTCCACTTCGGTCGACCGAAATGAGGCAGCTTAGTCATCTTCCATTCTTTCTTCCGGTGTTTGTTTGGTTCATGTTGGTTTGAATCTTGGGGCGTACTGAGAATGTTTTTCAAGCGTTGTAATGGTGTGTTGACCATAGAAATGTTGTGATGGACTTAGGTAACCTCGGGTTTGAGTAAGGACCCGTGTAGCGAACCGGGCCTCCGGGTCAGGTTCATTACACTTTTAGTATAGGACCTTTATTTACTATCCCTTATAGTACGGGGATATTGATTAAGGGATTCATTCAGCCCGGGTCCTTATAATACAGGACACTTATTATCATCCCTTGTAATACGGAAATATTGCAAGTATAAATATAACTGACCAAGAGTTAATGCAACTGAAATGAATTTTATTAAAGACCACCATTGCCTTAAGGCTTATTGAAAACAAAATAATACGTGAGGGAGCTACCCCCCATTTAAAATGATTAAATTACCGATCAATAAACATCGTCACTTTAAAGATGAACTTCTCAAGAACTTGAGAGGAGGATCGTTTTTTGACCTGACCTTTGTAGGTTAAGTTATGATATCTGATTACCATATTTTTGTCAGTTAGGCCCAATCTTTGTCTTTGATGACCAAACTTGGGGTGACCAGGCACTAATCTTGGATGACCGAGCCTTTGTAGACTTTGGGCAATCAATTCTCAATCTTGGTTGACTAGGCCTTGGTTCTAGGTTGAAAAGACCATCATTGGTGCTCGATGGGTAAAAACCTCATGGGACCACCTTGGACACGGTGGACTCATTGATTGTAGAAACTTCACTGGACTTAGAGTCCCTCCCCGTGTGTAAAGACTTACCAGGTTATGGTTTCGGAGGATCGGACACCGGTCTTGGACTACTAATGCCCCCGAGGAGTCGCTAAAGGAGAGAGACTAGAAACCCGACTAACTCGATGTACCAAGGTTGGTACGTCAATCTTCTAAACCTTGCCATCATAGCTACATCGACGATTGATATAGTGTGATCCACTATTCTGCCCCCGATAGTGGGATCTTGGGTGATGACCCATTCTATAGATGTTTATACAGCGGACGAGGTGCCTGGTACTGCAACAATTTACAGTTGTCTAAAAATATTAGATTGTGTTAGAAATTATTACTGAAAATTAACCTGTAATGGATTATCAATCCAAAATTATGCATAATCTGAAGTCGATAAGTAATTCCTGCAAAGGAAGAGAGGTGACGACTGTCGTCTGATACGTGGAGGCTTCACTAGTAGGTAGAGATCCCGTTGTTGGTAATGATCTTCTTGATGGGTGGAGACCTACTCATTTATATAGGCGCAAAAGGAGTAGGCCTTAGTCTTCAACGATCAGGCCTTAGTAGTTAGCTGCTGCCAAATATGAGATAGAGTTTGGTCTTAAACTACCAAACCTCAGTAATGAGGGGACCAAGCATCGCTAAATGGAAAACACTACATTGGACTGCCTAGGTCGACGTGCCAAATTTTGATTATTGTCATCGTATACTGGGTGGTATCACGCAACCAACCGTTTTGCCCCCAATATGATGGACGGGTAATCATGATGTAGAAACCTGTCCTTATATAAGAACATGGAAACCCATTGTCAACTGATGACTTTAGGATGGTTTCTATGATCGGAAACATTTGTCTTGCCATCCGAGCCAAGTCGCGTCAGGATTATTATTTCTTCAGAGAACTAATCGTTCCCATAGATGGCGCCAGCTGTTGATGCGAAAATCCTCGCTACTCGGAACGACGGCGTTTACCTGCAAAACAAAGGAATGTCACCTCAAATGGCACCGGTGGGGTGCCAGCCGAGGACCCTCCAACGATCAAGTTAGTACTTGTAATCGTATCACATAATAATTATGTATCTTCTGTTTAGGGGTTTTTTCTCTTACCTTTATTAACTGGTAGGATCTCCTTTTTATAGCCGCTTTCCCTAGGTTTATTTGCAAGATCAAAGGAGATCATTTGTTGCCAGATTTTTCGGGGATATGTTTTACTCCTTTGACTTTCTTAAATTGTATCAAGGTTATCCTTATCCTGTTGAACCACGTCGTCTTTCATTATCTTAGATAAGAAATGTCGTCATTCTTATCCAATGAAAATATTTATCTTTGATAACGAAATATTATCGTTCGAAAGTAGAAGAGGTCTGGCGACTGGTCAACACTTAGTTCCCTCTATCGTTAGGTCAGGGTAGGTTTATTTTTCCCTATCATCATAGTTGATTGTAATCCTCCCATTAAAAATATTTGATATGATAGGAGGAGAAAAACTTAATTTATATATGATTTACTTAAATTTAAATATTATTTTGAATGCATTTTGTTTCACCAAACATATATATTCTCATTAATCAATAGTAGTGTACCGCTTTTTATGGGATTGTGTTAGAGGCTATGTTTGGGTAAAGTGAAAAAGAAAAGAAATGATAACATTTATTAGGAGAGAAAAGAAAAGAAAAGAAAAGAAAGGAAAGGAAATGAGAGTACATTGTTAATCACTCAATCACTCATTGTGTATGGTTCATTAGTAAAAGAAAAGAAAGGAAATAAAACTATTTAAATAAAAATACTATTATACCAATTTTTTTTTAGATTTTGTTTTTAGACTAAATTTGGTATTAATAAAATTTCATTGCAAATGTTAATTTTTTTCTTCCCTTTACTCCCATTTTTAGAAGGATTACAAAACTAACATTTTATGCCTAATATCATTAAGGGTTAAATGCAAAAAAAAAACCCCTAAACTATTGCCATATCAGCAACTAACCCCCTGAACTACAAAAGTTGCAACTAACCCCTAGACTATTAAATTTTGCTGCAGATGACTCCATCCGGCAGGAATCTGACAGGTTTTGATGGCATGCACCATCACGTGACGAGGATGTCTAAATTAAACGACCAGAATACCCTTATTCACATAAAAGGTCAAAAATGCCCTTGTTACCATCATAACCAAACACACCCTTCATCGCTATCAAACCCGTCCCCTACAACAACAATGATCAAACTTGCTGACTGTTCCAAGCTCGCCGATTCAGTTCCAAGCTCGCCGACTGTTCTTGTCACCGCCGAGCTCCCTTGCGAGATTAAAGGAATTTAGTGCGTTATAGATTTTTTTTTTTTTATTTTAAAAGTTTCAGGTGAAGTAGATTTTTTTTTTTTTTCAGAATCCTGTAACCAAAAAAAAAAAAAAAAACCCACCACCACCCATGCCGCCACCACTAACACACCCATGCCATTGCCACCACCACAAATGCCAACTCAAGAACGGAATAAGTCATTACAGTGGACGCCTCCAGTAAGCAGGTTCAGTAGATCCAAATGAAAGGTAACTTTGAACCAAAAGAAGTGTCCCCACTAACTGATTGAGGAAAACTGAGGAGAAAGCCTCGGAGCGAGGCGACGGTGATCGGATCCACGAGCGAAGGGAACGACTGCCACAATAGGCAAGGGTAAGCGTCAGAAATGAAGGTGCAACAATGGTACACTGAGTTGGATGATCGGCCAGGTGCAGCAAAGGGAACGACTGCCACCACCACGACCACCAAATCCAAACCCCAAATTGAAAGCCAAGAACGTACAACACGACCACCAGTCTTGATTTGCAGGTGGTTACCAAATCGTCATCAATAAATCGATCTGCAGCAGTAGCTGCGACAACATAATTTCATGCCCTTCAGCATGCGCCGGTTATTGCAAATTGCGTGCTCTTCAAGCCCCTCATGCCGCCGCAGTCGTCTTCTTCCTCAGAGATTATGACTGTGGCTGAGTTGATGTTGATGCCGCAGACACCATTAGGCTTCGATATGACGGTGGATAGACCACCGTCAGGCCGCCGTTACGAAGAAAAAGTGACTGAGGCGTAGCAATTACGGCGGCCGGAGCAGGCGTGGCTGAGGCGACCCCTTTATCGCGGCTGAGTCCTCAACATCATCCAAAGCCAACCCCGCGCCGCAAGCTCACAATCGAGCTTCTTCTTCAATCGCCAGTCAGACCATCACGGTCGAGCCCTCACCGGAATACCTCTTCACAGCCAACCCCTTTTGCTTAATTTTGGATCTGTATTTTGTTTTTTTGTTTTTTTTTATCATTTTTTGGATTTGTATATTATGTTTGGACTTTACTATAAGATACAACAGATACATACATATATATTTGGCCTTGTTTGGTTACGGCTTGAGCACTATTTCAGGACTAGACAATAATAAGGGTATATGTGTCATCTGATTCACTTAGCTTAATCGCATTCAAAACTATGTTGTTTTAATAAGGGTAAATCAGACTTTTTATCTTTTCCGGAATTACTAAAATGCAACAAATTCATAGTTCAGGAATTTTTTCGTAGTTTGAAAAGTTAGTTACAATATGTCAATAGTTCAATGAGGTTTTTTTGCATTTAACCCTATCATTAATATTGATCCTTCCAAACCACTCCTATTCATTTCTTTTCCTTTAAAAAATTATACCAAACACACCACACACTATTTTATTTCCCTCCATTACCTTTCTTTCTTTTCCTTCCTTTACCCTCCAACCAAACAGGGCCGAAGGGTGGGGAGTCAAGAGAGAGAGGTGAGCGAAGGAGAGGTAGAAGTTTTGTCCATCTAAAATTTTATATACATGGAACACAACATGGATATATCAGACTTGATTTATCCCACTTTCACATATTTTCTTAAAATTTGTTAAAAAAAATGCGATATTGCTAATATTTCTTTACGACATAAAAACATCAAAATGAGATATTTGATCTACTTTTAATGAAATTTTGAACAACATTTTAACTATATAATTTTCGTTTAATCATCTTTCAAATGATTAAGTTCGTGCCTCATACATAACCATGACCAGCACCAAAAAAAGAAAAAAACATTAATGAGTTATCATTTCAAACCAGTACCAAAAGAATTCAGAATATAAAATTAACACTTCCAATATCAATAACTTAAAAGACCACACCCACTCTCTACTCTATCAAACTCTCTTAAATAGCAAATGAAAAATGAAATTAACAAACTAAATATTGAGTAGCAAAAATGCTCACTTATAAGATCACACCCACTCCCTAATCTATCAAACTCTCTTAAATAGCAAATGAAAAATGAAATTAACAAACTAAATATTGAGCAGCAAAATGCAGTTGAGCAGGATTATATAATTTCCATTTTGACTCTTGCAGGTAGACTTTTTTGGAGTTGCATAGCCTGCTCTTTGGCAGATTGTTTCTCCTTGGTTTCATTAAACATCCACGGTCTTGGACTCAACAATACACGTGTAGAGTGACGTTCGATAGTAATCTTCTCCAACATAACGGCATTCTTAATAAAATAGTGGGCAAACTCGAGGTCAATAAAACAGCCAACAAACCCAGCCAATTCCACCTCCTTTAGACATTGATGGGGACGGTTGGGAATTTTACGCTGCCTTATTCCTTCCACCCCCAAAGGCGTCAAATATTGTACCTGTGGAACAGAAACGCAGTGAATCATAAAGCACTTCATTACAAATAAGCAACTCACTATTAATTACTTTTAGTAATAGCTGAGTGTTGATTCACATTGAAGCAGCATGTTAAAGTTTCCACGTACACCACACACTACAAAGAATAGTGGACAAATATTTATAGTAAGTCTATACTAATAATAATAATAACAACAAAAAAAGTAGATAGTAGAAATAGAACTTCTGTACTTAAAAGTTTAATCATCTTACTAGAACTATCATAATAATTTACCAGCATTTTAGAAACAAGTGTTTACAAAAAAAAAAAAAAAAAAAAAATCCCTCTACTTATAAAGAATAAAAGAATCAAACATCTAGCCCTTAGCAAGAAAACCTAATCCATATTTTTAAAAACAACTATAATAACCTATACATTTGCTTCATCAAGTTGTATTCACAGCTAAAGATGAAATGAGGACGTTAGTTCCGGAATCAGAGCAATGCTAAATTGCTTTAAAAAAAATTATTAAACACTTCACATAGACTCATTACCTACATGGACAGCTGGACCAACTCATTGAGAAATAATATAGGGGGAGGGGACACTAAAAGAAAGTATCTCTTTCATTTATGTGTCCGTAATTTGAAACTTAAATTTCATTATTTTGAGACTAAAACAAGTCTCTTATGTAACACAAAGACGTCTCAAAAAAGGCATCCCCAACAAACTTTGAAATAGGATCAACATATCAAAACATGCAATTGTCACTTTTTAGTATTTGGACAAGAATATAATTGTAGGTCTGTAACTAAAAAATATAATAGGTTATGTAGACGACGGTGTACAAAAGAGTTCATTTGAGATTGAATGAAAATATGGAATTCAAGATATATGAAGTATAAACACAAAGTTTCTTGAAACTCTAAAAGAATCATTAATAAATCACAGACATTATTCTCAAAAGTGTATGAATCTTGAGCTATACATTATCCTTTTGGTTGTAGAACATTCGAAGTGTAAATAGTTTCAATTCATAACTTTGTCTCAACATTAAAAATCCATGATACTAAATGACATTTTATATAGCTTTGTGTACGTCCAGCCTGCAGCAGTAGTTGTGAACCTCTCATGCCTTTCTTTATTTATTTATTTTTTGATAAGTAAAACCTCTCAGGCCTTTCTTTATCAGACTACCGTAATGGATTAAAATAAAATAAATAAGGGGGAGGGGAGTAAAACTTTGGAGATGTACCATCCTATGGATGAGACGCAGCTGGAGGCTAGGAAGGATAGAACTCCATCTGAGGAGGAGGATAGAGAGCTGTGGAATCTTATATCCCACGAGAACTATGAAGGGATGAAAGGAGGGGGAAGGGAGGGAGGGAGAGGAAGGAGGAAGGGCAGGTCTTAGTGTTGTTTGCCCATAAAGTTCCGTATCATTTCTTGGAATGCACGTGGTTTAAGGTGGTGAAGTTAGCAATTCGAAAGTGGGGTGTGCATGTAGTGTGTTTGCAAAGATGAAGTTGGCCTCTATTTCAGATAGAGTGGCGAAGAGCTTGTCGGGAGGGAGATTTGTTGAGTGGGAGGTTCTAGATGTTGTGGTTACATCGGGCAGCATCATTTTGAGAGGTCTATGAGAGAGAGATGGACCCCATGGAGCAGTTATCGACTTCTCGGAGTTGAGAGGTCTCGGAGCAGAAGGCTCTGTTTGTTGGAGGCTTGGAGAGGGTGTAGAGTAGATCCCCAAGCCTACGTCTTGTGAAGGGTAGCGCCTTTGTGCATTTGGTGGTGTTTGTGAAAAGAAAAGAATAGGCTATCGATGGGGAGGAAACTTCTACTCGGAAGCTGAAATTCCTTATAGTTAGTTCTCTTTTTTGTTGGGTTTATGGGAGAAATTATATATCCACGGCTGAGATAATTAATTTTTTGGATAGTTTGAGCTCTTAAGGACCCTATTTGGTTCCCCATTTGTTTGGAATGAGCTCCCCGTTTATCTCAAGAGATCTTTCCTCATAGAAACCTGAGATCCATTCGTAGAAACAGAATAATATTTCTGAGTGAATTTATTGTTGACCAGAATTGGGATGTCTCCAAGTTTGATGATAGTACTCAAGATGTGTGTAACTACCTGCAGGGGTACAAGATCCATGGGGGCCTTGATCAGTTACTTTGGCAGACTTCAAAGGTCTCTTTAAAAGCAGCCTGGGAAGCATGTAGAGTTAGGAGGCTAGAGCTTTTTTGAACTGAGCTTTGCTGGAATGGTGGAAGGCCTAGATGGTCCATACATGCTGCTATGGTTTACAAGATGCTATCTTAACTAGTTCTTATCTAAAAAGGAGAGGAATTTCCTTAGCTTCTATTCGCTTTCTGTGTATAAAGAATGTAGAGAATGGTGACTATTTATTTTGCAGCTGCGAATACATATGGCAGGTGTGGTCTGGTGTCTTGGATATATGTCATTGGAACATCCAGAAATGTGACTCTATATTGGAATTTGCCAAGGGCCTTGCTCAACAGTACACAGCTAAGACATGGAAGCATAAATTGTTTAAGATGTTGCTTACTGCTACATTACATATCCTATGGATGGAGAAAATTGATAGAGTTCACCATGCTAGACATAGAGACCCTAGGGACTTGGTGAAGTGTATAGTGTGGGAGGTATGTATATCTTGGGGGTATGCCTCCGAGATATCATTTGAATTTGCTAGTCTTCTTTTTCCAAGGGTCTGTCCTGGGCAGATTTCTTCCCTCTTTGTTGGGTCTTTTTGCTTTTGATGTGGTGGTATGCACTCACTTTCTCCTTTGTATTATATTGTTTTATATTTATAATACTTTCCTCATTTAGGAAAAAAAAAAAAAACACTGGTGGCACTGGTAACAAGGAGATAGGCTCATGGAGTAGTACAAGGTGAAAAGGCATGTACATGGGTGCTTGGGATCGTGTGGTGGAGAGGGTGGAGAGGAGGCCTGCAGGGTGGAAGAAGTAGTATCTATCAAAAGGGGGGAAGGTTACACTATTGAAGAGCACCCTGTCAAACCTACCTACTTATTTCTTATCCCTGTTCCATATTTCGTGTCCTCGGTAGCCGCTTCAATTGAGAGACTTCATAGGAACTTATGGTGAGGTTTAGGGGATGAATTTAAGTATCATCTTATTCGTTAGGAGCAGGTTTGAAGGCCCATTCAGTCTGGAGGTATAGGGATTAGAAGGTTATTGCCTTTCAACAGGGCCCTTCTAGGCAAGTGGTTGTGGAGATTTGGTATTTGGGGTTGGAAAGCTATTTGGAAGGGATGTAATGAGTTTTCTAAACATATCAGATTCAGAGTTCAGGATGGCAGGGAAGATTCGTTTCTGGGAGGATATATGGTGTGGAGACCATACTTTAGCATGTTCCTCCCCAGGTTGTTTAGGATTGCTGCTAATAGGCATGCCTTGATTGTTGACTGCTATCGGCTCAATAGCAGGAAGTTGACCTGGGATGTGCTTTTTCAGAGATCTTTTCAGGATTGGAAGTTGGATGATGTCCGGATTTTTGGAGCTATTGTATAGTCAGGAGATTCGTGGAGGTAGGGATTCTCTTGTTTGGATTCCTTCCTCTAGGGGAAGCTTCAGTGTGAGGTCTTTTTTCAGATGTCTGTCGGATCAAGTCAGGACTACATTCCTGTAGAAGGCGGTGTGGCGTTCCAGGGTGCCACTTAAAGTGGCTTTCTTTGCTTAGACAGTGGTGTGGGGTAAGATTCTGACGCTTGACAATTTGGGGGGGAGAAATCATATCACGGTTAACTGGTGTTACATGTGCAAGTGTAATGGAGAGTCGGTTGACCATCTTCTTTTGCATTGTCAAGTGGCCTTTGATTGTTGGAGCCTCTTGTTGGACCTTTTCGGAGTTACCTAGGTCATGCCTAGATCTACAGAGGTTTGATGGACGCTTAGAGAGGGGGTTTTGTGGGAGCACAGGCTAGAGGGTATTGGAGGATGGCGCCCTTGTGTCTATGGTGGTGTTTGTGGAGGGAGCGAAATAGAAGATCTTTTGAAGGAGAGGAATCCTCGGCTGCTGTTTTTAAATCTTCTATTATTAGTTTTCTTTTTTTTTTTGTAGGTTTCGGGTAGACGTTCTTCTTCTCCTGAGGAGACAATAGATGTTCTGACTTCTTTGGGGCCTTAGGTTTCATGGCCACTTGTTTTGTATTTGGGATGCGTTCCCCTTCTGAACACTCTTTTTTAATCTAAAAAAAAAGAAGAGTCTTGGGCTCTAAGAAATTGTAATCCTTGTCCAACAAGGAATTGTTTTTGTAGCTCTATAAATAGATACCTATGTTGTGGGTCGAGACTTATGAGATCGAGAGAGATATAATCTCAGGAGGAAATTGATAGGTAGAGATAGTTTGTGCGTTGGTAGAGTAGGAAAAACACATGTGACACTAGTAGCCTACATGGTGGAAAAAAAGGCATGTAAACGGTGTTGGCATTCTATTGTTATAATATCTCTACGAATCATAATGGAATCTTTTCTCATTCATGGATGTAAGCCGGTTTTGGTTGAACCACTTTGTTAGCTTTATTTGGTTCCCGATGTTCACACGCTTCTGTTGCCCTAACAAATTAGTATTAGAACCGAATGTGAAGGAGATTAAAAAAACACAAGGACTTTTAACAGTTGCAACAACGGGTTTTAGTTGCAGGTGGAGTTAATCGGCTTGTTTGATCACGATGGTCAAAAAACATAATGGGTTGCATGGCAATATGGCATGGAGCTCGAGTAGTCAAGATGGAGCCTCAGAGGTTTGATTGATCGAGCAACATACAATGTGGACAACCAGAATTTTGCAGAACAATTATCAAGATTGAAGTTGCAAAATGATCAATGCTGTGGGAAGCGATGATTAACTAGATGGAATTTGAGACAAGATAGAGATTATTGGAAATTGTGTCTCAAATTCCTATTTTAATTGGGTTTCTATTTTAGAATTGTATTATGCTAGAAAATTTCTTGTTAAGCAAGTCTTAGGCTAAAAAAATTGTAATTCTTGTCTAACAAGGAATTGTGTTTGTAACACAATAAATGAATACCTAGGTTGTCAGTTGAAACTTATAAGATTGAGAGAGATTAGTCTCGTGAGGGAGTTATGGGTAGAGATAGTTTATAGGTTGGTAGAGTAGGGAAAACACTGAGGGTCACTGGTAACGAGAAGACGGGCTAGTGGAGTAGTACATGGTTAAAAGATACGTATGCGGTGTTGGTACTCTATTGTTGTAGAATCTCTACGAATCATGGTGGAATCTCTTATCATCTGTGGATGTAAGTCGGTTTTGGCTGAACCACGTTATAACTTGTGTTTGTGTGTAATTGTTTAGTTGGTTTTCTTTGTTCGCGCACTTCCGCTGCCCCAACACGCTTTTTATTCATCTTTACTTATCGGAAAAACAAAAATAAAATAAAATAAAATAAAAATAAATAAATAAATAAACCTCCATTGGTACAAATTGAGATTTAGATATTAAGCAACAACCAATATATAATATTTTCATCGTAACACGGTTTTAAAAATCAGTTAGATCTCAAAAAAGAAAAACAAAGTCCATTAGAACAAATAGATATTTAGATATTAAGCAACGACCAATATATAATATTTTCATTGTAATACGATTTTATTTTTCGGTTGTATCTTTCAACTGCAAGTAGATATACAATACAACATAACTCACAAGATGGGATGTACAGATTTTTTTTATTTTTTTTTAAATGATCTACAATTATATTAATTACAATTTTATCTGTCTAAAAATTAGAAAAATCCAAATAAAGAAGGCCATTATCCAATGAAAGTTAACTTCTATTCATGGCCGTTGCAGTGAGAGAAAGACACAAGATATGATTATCCTCTGTCATTAAACAAAACATCTATATAAGAAAAATTATTTACCTGCAATTTAAATTTATGCAGCACAGGTGATGCATATATCAAGGGAGTCCAACAGAGAATGCTTGCAGTTTGATCTGCTAGAACTTGCAATGTCAAGAACTTGAGCTTAGTAAATTCAGGAAGTTTTCGGAATCCTGAATTACCCTGAAAAGCAAAACTTATTATAAACAACAAAATTGAAAAGGTCACTACCTAATGTTGGGGTTAGTGGTATGTTGGGAGGATGGACTTGATTCAGACATAACCTTTGGTATAATTTTGTACAAAAAGTATTTGCAATCAGACTCAAACCAATTTTATAACATTAGAAGATATTAATTAAAAAACACTCCCATGACATAAAATTGCAATAGAAATATCAACTAACCTTTTGCCCACGAGTCATCTCCATGCCCAACGAAAGAGTCTCGAGCTGTGAAAAGTAGCTTGAAAACGAGAAAAAAACACTCCGTATTGGCTCAACGAAATCTGAAATAGACACCTTGGCAAGCTGGAATGCATCCTTAATTTGCATATTCATTTTTTGGCCGAGTCCAAAATGTGAAAATGACACAAGACTCGTAGCACAAACCTCAAGATCCTTCAGATTGGGGCATACGGATATGTCCAAGAACTTCAGCCGAAGTGAGGAACCAAAAACTTTTAAATTCACTAAATGTTCCGAGTCTCGTACTCGTAAAGATTCGAGAAGAGGACAATCGGAAAGTAAGCGTTCAAGAATTTCTCCACTTATGTTCACACGCGAAAAACAGAGGGATCTTAGGGACCTAATGCTGGATAAACAAGCAGGGCTTTTGAAGAGAATATTATAACTCTGGTTTGTAATAGTATACGGTAAACCAGCATGCTCTTCGGAAAAGACAGATGGTTCCAACTCCATCTCAAGCCTTTGAACACTCTTTGTTATTGCAAACTCAATCCATCTATCAATGACACAACTAGAAGAGCTATTCAAACAAAAACAAACTCTAAACTCGTCTATGGTTGAACCACAATGTGACTCCACCACTTTGTTCACCCAATTTATGTACCTACATCTTTCTACCCCCAACAGTGCCTCTGTGTTGGATTCAATTTGTAAAACTGTTTGTGAAGCATCAAAGTTTAGAACCCTGTTAAAGGACCACAAATGTTCCCATCTTTTTGAGAGCACACAAGTGCGCGCTGCTTCTCTAATTCCCAGAAGAGACAGAACAGAAACAAGAATTTCATCAGGCAGGCAACTGATCCTATCCATCCTGCAGGTTGTTGTTACTCTGAATGAACCAAGATAATGGGCATAAATTACCAAAAAAAAAAAGAAACACACCTTTGCGTAAGAATGCTTCAGCTAAGACACTTAGACTAACCCAATCACCTAGAGAGAGAGAGAGAGAGAAATAAATAAATAAATAAATAAAATAAAAAATCCTTTAGACTGATCAAAGATTATCTACTTTGACCAACAAAAACCAGAGCTAAACAAAAATAAAAATACAAAGACATAAATATGTACCTTATGTCTTTTTTTGCGTTTAGAGATGGATCTCATCCTTTTCCTCATTGAAATTATTCTCATCATCATAATTTACAGCCAAATAAGCTCTGCAGACACCCAAAAAAAAAAATTACAGATTAAGGAAGGAAATTATGACAAACTCTAAATCTAATACAAATTTATGTAAAGAAGAAAATAAAGAAGTCAAGAAAGAAAGAAAAAAAAAAAAAAAAGACTCACCTCAAAGATTCAAAATAGGAACCCTAGTTTCTTCATATAAAACGAACAAAGATCCAATTTTTCGTTGGGAAGCCAAATATGTATTCTCCTTGAAAAATTTTAATTCATAGTGTGTGGACGGGAGAAATTATTACATGCCCCCTGGTATTTAGTGACTTCCAATGAGTAGTTGACAAATAAGCATATAAAAGTTGAATTATAATTCTTCTGATTACGTGTCAATTATTTAGTGGTTAATCCAGTAACGATGTCATATTTCGTGGAAGTACGTAATAATTTCTTGATGTACAAAAAGATCATGATTCATGTTTCCTTTTTAAATCCTAAATCCATTGTCTGAAGGCCCGACAACTCAATGGGCAATCTACAGACACCTGATCTATGTCTAGGCCCAACAAAAAGGAAAACTCAACTAGGGTTTTTACTTGTACTAGTCAAGCACACACGTGAGTGACGTAATATTATTTATTTTCTTTTCATCTCCTTTTTATTGAAATTTAGTATAATTCAAGTTTTAAATATTATATATTTCATTCTGTAATTACATTTTCTTCATTTGATTGAATTTCAGTAGTTTAATTTTTTTAATATTATATATTTCATTCTTTAATTAGATTTATTTTTATTAAATTTTAGAATTTTATACCATTATATTATTATTATTAGTATTTATTCTCTAATTAGATTTTCTTTTGTTGAATTAAATAATTTTATTTTTTTAAATTATATATTTCATTATTTAATTAGATTTCCTTTTATTGAATTTCAGTTATTAAGTTTTAAATAATATATTTTATTCTCTAATTATATTTCCAACTACTATATTATTTGTATTTTAATATTTTTTTTTCCAATTAGATTTTTTAATTAAATTAAATAAATAAGTTTTTTAATATTATATATTTCATTCTCGAATTAGATTTTCTTTTATTAAATAATAAATAAATTTTTAATATTATATATTTCCTTCTCGAATTAATTTTTCTTTTATTAAATTTTAGTAGTTTTATTTTTTTATTATATATTTTTTCCCGAGTTAAATTTCCTTTTATTGAATTTCAATACAGTATTGAAAAATTAAACCGTTGAAATTCAATATTAAAGGACCACATCACGGTCTGTATGAGTGCCTACTATTTATTTTATTTATCAGTTTTTCGATTTTGAGTATGAATGATTTACACACCGATGAGTAAGTAAGTATTGTCCTTATACAAAAACAAAAGGCATCTAAGATGTCTGTTACAAAAAATTGTCTACATAATTTCTAAGTAATTTTTAAAAGGCATCAACATTTAAGATGTCTGTTTTGAAAGGTCATTTATATATATATATATGCGATAAGTTAAGATCTAAATAGACGAAGGTTTTTGTGGCCAGTAGCATCTCATCTACCTCCCAAAATAAATGGTGGGGGTTCGAGTACGTCTTCAAATGAGTAAATGAGTTTCTTGTCAATGAAAAATATAATATCTAGAAGACTCCTTTATGTTGTTTCTGTTTCTTCCCGTTCTATTGAATTATTTCTCATGTGCACAATACTTTTTAAGTGGATATTGTAAATATACCAGGTTTTTATTTCTTTCCTTTTACCTTATGAGTTCATTGTACCTCATATATATATACTAGTACATTGATAAAAAGTTATTTTAAAGTCTTAATTAAAAAAATTATATAAAAATTATCAAAATAAATAATTGATTAGTAACTTGTTTAAAGCGAAATGCATTGTCAAGATTAAAATTTAAGAGTAAAATTTCAAGTTTAAGGGGTTGCCATTATTTGTGTAATATGTATATAATTAGAGAATTAAATATATAATATTTAAAACCTTATTAAAGAAGGAAATATATAATATTACAAAACTTATTTGTTTAGTTTATAAATGTTGACATGACATAATTCAGCAAACATAAAAAAATAAAAAATAAAAATAAATCAACTTGATTAATGCAATTCAAAGAATAAAACATAATTAAACAAACACAATAAATAAATAAATCAACATGATTAATGTAATTCAAATAATAATGTACGTGTAATAAAACAAAAAAATTTGAATCATGCTACGATACAGATCAATCAAAATAAATTAGATGTTTTTTCAAAAATAAATGGAGTCATCCAAAAGAAAAAATATATGCAATTCAAAGAAATTATTACCAAAGTTGAAAGAAAACATAATGTACCTGTAATAAAATAAAGAATTTTTAACTATACTGGGAAACAGATCAATCAAAATAAATTAAGATATTTTTTCATTCTAAACTATTTAATTTAGAATAAATCAAACCTCCCCAAGTAGGATTCGAACCTATGACCAGTAAGTTAATAACCAACCACTCTACCACTGAGCTGTTGAGGAACAATAAAAGATTAGATCTCATAAAGTTCAATTTCTGTTCTCAAGTCATGACCAATATAAGCTCGAAACTTCTTTCATAACTCCCAGATATGTTTCGAATAATTAAATAAATTACAAATTAAAATTAATTAGGTAATTGTGTATTGGAATTCAATCAAGATGTTTCAAATCATTTATAAATAAAATAAAAAAATAATTTATCAAATAAAAAAATAAAGTTTTGTTAACCTTGAAGAATTCCGAACATAATAGAATTTATTTTAATTGGTAACTTATTTTATTATCCGGTAATTATTTTATTATTTTATCTATAAATGATTTGAATTATTTTGATTGAATTTCAATTAAATAATTACCTATTTAATTTTAATTGGTAATTTATTTAATGATTTGAAACATCTTAATTGAAATTTCAATTATACAATTATTTATATTAATTGGTAATTTATAGGATTTATTTTAATTGGTAACTTATTTTATTATTTGATAAATCATTTTATTATTTTATCTATGAATGATTTGAAACATCTTGATTGAATTTCAATTAAACAAATACCTATTAAATTTTAATTGGTAATTTATTTTATTATTTAGGAAATTTTTTTACTAAATAATTACCTATACTTTTATTTTAATTCATTTTATTTATAGAAACTCTTTTATTTTAATTCATTTTATATTAATTAATAAATATTTTTTATATTAATAAATAAATACTGACTGAAAAATATTGAAACTCTTCATGCTTTTAATAATAGTTGTTTTAATAGTTTTATAGAAACTCTTTTATTTTAATTCATTTTATATCAATTAATAAATACTTAATAAATTATTTTTTATATTAATAAATAAATACTTAAATATTGAAAGAAATATTGAAACTCTTTACACTTTTAATAATAATATATACTTATAGATATAGGTATATAGAGCAATACTTCATGAAAAAATATTTGAGATTTTATCACAAATGCTAAATGCAATGTCGTATTTCTCCACCCATGTTACTCTCTTCCCTTATAGTTTCTCTCTCTTTCAATGTTCTCTTTCCAAAATTATAAAGATCCATAATCTTCTTCTACCAAAGTCATCACATAAAGTAACATTGAATCTCATCAAAATAGTCATCCTCTACATGTGTATCAAATAATTGTCCATAACTAATTTCGCTTATAAGTGCCTTAACTTTTTTTTTGAGTAATCATTCATAACCTTGTGCCCTAACTATGCAAAGATACAAACATAATCCTAAAATTTTGGAGTTATAATTTCAGACCACACACACGAATTATTTACATATCTTTTAATTCTCTCCATGACACCACACTTTGTGTTTAAGCAATAAGTTAGAAGTGTTGCTGCTAGCAACTTTTAATAGGAAATCTAAGAACAATAAAAAATATATATATACACACACACACTATGTTTAAGCAAAAATTTAGAAGTGTTGCTGCTAGCAACTTTCAAAATGAAATCTAAGAACAATCAAAGAAGAAAAAGAAAATTCACTCCTAAAAAGAAATTTAAGTGAGGGTTTCTCGCTCCCACTCTCAAAAGAAAAGCTAAGTATGTCACGTCTCATTAGTGATAAAATCATGAAATTTTTTTTTTTCCATATATATATATATGTGTGTGTGTGTGTGTATATATATATATGCCCTAATTTAAGGGTTATATATACATATATAGTTAGAACTCTTTTTTTTTTTTTAATTTTCATTTTTTTTTTCAATATATATACTTTTATTAATTTATTAATTATTAAATAATTTTTTACACGTGATTTGGTACTTCTTCCATAGAGTATTTTCCATCTTTTACGGGATTTAAATGTACACTTCTCGACTTTCATTACACGGTTAGTGTTTTCTTAAGTCTCTTTTTATTTAATATGTTTAGGTTTATTAGTGGTTCATGTTACATATTTATAAAAATACATAAATAAGTTTTTTGTTTTTGTTTTTTTTTTTTTTTCCTGCAAACTACATTCTGTAAATAAAATTACGAATCAACATTTACAGTTGTGCCTTTTCAAATTTTTTTTCTAATTGGTACTAATCAATTATCTGTTATGGATTAACAAATAAAAAATGTCTACATGCCTTTGGCTACTAACTCGAGTTTTGACTTTTAAAATCTCTACTATTTTATGAATCGAACACATCTCTTAATATTCTTCCTGACTTTTCAAATCTCGGCCACGGCATACTCGGCAAGGCCAAAATGGCTCCGATAAGACCCGCTTTCATCATTCCGATGGGTGATCAAGAACAGACCCAGAAAATTGGGTAAGGGGGCAAAAGTGAAATATTTTTATAATTTAAGGAGGGGCAACACTAAAATTTCATTGGTATATAAGTGTAATATGAAAAAATTTCTAGTATTTAGTTTTAAAAAAAAAAAATTTGAGTGGGTGCAATTGCCCCTCTTTAAGTCCGTGCCTCGGGTGATTGACTGTTTTGTCAACTTTTCGACGGGAGTGCGTGTGTAATTTTGTTGTTGTGGGTATATAATAAGTCGTATAAATATATATAGAGATAGAGAGAGTTGAGAAAATGAGAGAGTGCGCGTGGTGTTGGAGATGGTGAAGATGTTTGGCCTGGTTGGTGGCGGCGGCGGCCTGGTGGGAGCTGGTGTTAGTTAGGTTGGGTGAACAGATGGGAAAAGAAGATAAAAGATGAGGGTAAAATAATAGTTTCACCATTAAGGTATTGTTGTAATTTTTGAAGCTCAAAGGATATGTCTTTTTAGACAAAGAGAAGGCTAGATTCGTCATTCACTAGACGAAATTGTGACGACTGGGGCTGATTGTAATGAAATGGGGTGCGTAATAAGATCCATACTTAACCAGAGAGTGTATTAATTCCAAATTTTAAAGGATGTGATAGTTTCTGCTTTTCATGTGACATAGCGCCTAGAAGCATGAGAGTAAATTAAATGTACCGATACAATCAAATGATAACAAATTATCAAGTCTAAGCATTTTCAAGTATTTAAAAGCTCAGAGTCACACCACAAAAGTGTTGCTTCTGTTCCCCACTATTAACATGTTAGTCACCGATACTACCAACAAATTATCAAAGTCTAGACATTTACAAGTCGCATTCAAGTATTTAGTGTTTGCTTGATCTTGATTATCTAAATACTGTGAAAACACTCGTCAGCTCTTTGAGTACGGGTAACCGTCCTATTTTCATGAGAATGCTGAGTTATAATACTATTATATATATGCATGTATTATTATAGTAGTCTTTTTGCTTAGAAATAATGTTGTTTATAATAGTAGATGTGGAAGAAGGTGCGAAATCGATCAAAGAACACGAGCTGCGGTTAGGGCTACCAAAAAGACTACTATAATAATACATGCATATATAATAGTATTATAACTTAGCATTCTCACGTTTTTTCTTGATAATTTTCATCTCCTCACTAACGTTTGCAAAGTCAGCATCACTGGCATCGACTCGACTGAAAATAGGACAGTTACTCGTACACAGAGCTGATAACATTAATTTCAGAGTCAAAGATTTAAAGAGCCCATTTGAGACAAAGAAATGGGTCATGCCCATAGGCCCTTTCCAGAATATTCCTACGCTAGAATACACAACCCAGACATCCTCTACACGCACGAACAAAGTGAATAACTAGGAGTAAAATGGTCATTTCAAACAGAATTGGATATTATCGTGCATACCATCGGATAGACAATGAAAAAACCCATGTAATTTAAAAGAATACTTACACAGTTGGACACAAAATAACAGTTTACAACAAGTTTCAATACATACTGATATAAGGAGTTCAAAATAGGTAGGACTGAGCTAAACCATCCTTGATATGCTACCGTCCCATACCGGTGCATATACACATATATAAATAGGACTTAACTTTTCTTCTTCTTCTTCTTCTTCTTTTTTTCATTTTTTTTTTTTCATGATTATTTTTTTTTTCAAATCACGTTTCATTTTTTTTTTTTCATGATTTTTTTTTTTATATGATTTTTAGTCCCTTTGGGACCCATTCTTCCGTTGGAACGCAACTAGTCCGTAAGGACCCATTGTTCTAACGAAAAACATTCAAAATGAGAAAATATAAATAACAGAAGAAACGGTATCAAAAACTGAGTCCCGAGCAGAGAGATATGCCCCAAACAAGTTCGACAATTTCTAAATACCTAGTAAGGTTTAGCAATGCCGCCTCGCTTTTCTAACGGAAATAGCAAATCAATAAAATCACTATTCGCTTCCGCATTCGGATCCGTTATCGGATCATCCTTACGGTTCATCACAGGAGTTTTGGGATTGGCTAGGGTGGTCTGGTCAGACATCTTTGGAAGATTCAAAATAAGAAAATATGAACAACGGAAGAAACGGCGTCGAAAACCGAGTCCCAAGCAGAAAGTTATGCCCCAAACAAGTTCGGCGGCAACCGATCCAAATTAAATTGCAAAATGGTCCCTAAGATGAAAAATAATTACTTTACAGTAATTACACAAAAACCCCTAAAGTTTAAAAAATTACAAAATGGTCATGCATCTATACCCTTTACAAGAAAAGTAAGCACTTAGCATGCTTTTCTACAAAAGTGAAAATACAAACTTGATAAACCTTGGCTCCATGTCTAGGAGAGACATGATGCCCCTCACTCCCATCCTCATTATTGAAATTTTTGATGTGTAGGGGATCGACTTCATGGGACCATTTCCATCTTCTTATGGCTATGAGTAAATCCTTGTAGCGGTGAATTGTGTTTCCAAATGGGTTGAAATGTCTTCCCATTATTTAGATCATCAATATCAAGCACAGTGACGGAGCCAGGATTTCAAGTAAGGAGGGCACACTGCCAAAATAAAAAAAAAAAAGCACGGAGTACATATATATATATATATATATATATATATATATATATATATAACAACTATAAAATTCAAAAAGACAAATAAGAAGAAAATTATTAAAATATAAAAAGAAAAAAAAAAAAAAAAAAAAAGAACTCTAATAAAAAATAATTAAAAATTTTCAATTGAAAAAAAAAAAATGACTTTTTCTACTAAGAAAATTTAAGGAATGTGAGAGTAAAAGAGAAAATAAAGAAAAAATAAGAATATAATTTTAAGAACTACAAATTTGAGGGAGACACTATATAAATTTTTTCATATATATTGAATTTTTTTTAAAAATCACCACATATATTATAGGTTGTTGGCTAACTCAGGGGGGCACGTGGCCCCTGGGCCTTTATTGGCTCCGTCCCTGATCAAGCACCATTTCTGGTTTATTTCCAACCTCATGTCTCCACAACTCCCACCATTTTCAGTTTATGGAATTTTTCCTTGAGGCTTTCATTGTCTGGCCATTTTGGGTTTATTTCCAACCTCATGGTCTCCACAACTCCCACCAACTCTGTCCATTCCGTCTGCAATTCAAGGATATGCCCCGTGAAAGACACCAACTATGAGTCAGCTGACTGAACGGATAATGTTGGCGGTATTTGGATGATTTCCAACTGCGTCCCATATCTGTAATCGCATTAAAAAATAAGACATCATTCCTAATTGAAAAATAATACGAGAGAGTGATAAAATAAAAACTTTAGAACTAGAATTAGGCTAGTCAAAATGCATCAAATGTCAATAGATGTATATACTATATAATATATATAAATTGGTGATAGCCTTCAAATCTTTAATGGTTAAAACAACCACCTTGCTCATTTCCAAAACCTCTCCTGCCAGGCCATCATGTTCTTTCCTCATCTCATCTTTCCTATCCTCCATGTCACACACCTTTCTCTTCAGTTTGTCCCTTTTAATCTTCAGTATGGTTCTCTCTGCCGTCAAGTTCTCTAGTTCATTCTGAGAAGCATTAACCTGCCTGAGCAGGTAGTGCGATTTCGCACCTTCTTCCATACCTATTATAAACAACATTTCTTAGCAAAAAGACAACTATAATAATACATGCATATTATAACTCAGCATTCTCACCGATTTTCTTGATATTTTGTATCCCCGCGTTTGCAAAAGTCAGCAACTCGCATCAACGTGAAGGAAAAAAGGACGGTAAACCATACGCAAAGACCTCACGAGTGTCTTCGCAGTATTTAGATCATTAAGATCAAGCACCGCTACCTTTTTCAATTTATGGAATTTGTCCTGAGGCTTTCATTGTCAGTCCATATCTCTAGTTTATTTTCAACCTCATGGTCTCCACAACTCCAACCAACTCTGTCCGTTTCGTCTGGATTTTCCCCGTCAATGACACCAACTGTGAGTTGGCTGACTGAAACTTCCTGAGACGTTTCAATGGGAACGGTGGTGGTATTTGGATGATTTCCAGCTGCGTCCCATATCTGTAATAGCATTAAAAAATAAGATGACCACGTTTCTAATTGAAAAATAATATGAGAGAGGGAGCGATAAAATGAAAACTGTAGAACTAGAATTACACCAGTCAAAATGCATCAAATGCCAATAGAAGTATACAATATATATACATAACCACAACCTGACCTTACTAAAAATAGAAGTGCAAAATTGAGCAAACTTAGAATAAAACCATGTAAAAAATATACATATAGCATTATTACTAAGGAAGGTCGTATTGAAACATCTACAGCAATTAAAAACACGTCTTCTTCCTAAATAATTTATATTTATCAGATTCAATGCTTAAAAAAACTCTTCAAATGCACATGGATCCTTCTTTAATAATAAATTAATGTAATAAATCTACAAACACGAAAGGAGCAAATGGAAGTGTTCAGATAGAAATATCAGGAAAAACTAGTTATTTGTGGTCAATTCATATTCATGTTCGTTATGGAACAGAATTCATTTTTAAGAATGGCAAAAAACCTGTAAGTAATATCTGGACTAGCCATATTATACTACCAACCAGATGAAAAAGTTTTCAGAAAGAAGGTAACAACCATCAAAATCTAAGCTGTAAAGCAGTTTATAACAGGATAAAAACAGCAACAGCACATTGAAGTTATACACCACAAAGGATTAAGAAAGAAAAACTAAAGGGCTAGAAAATATATCAACCAAAATCAAGTGTTGTTTAATTCAATTTTAGGCTAAATCAAAATATATCAACCACCTTGGCCACTAGTGTGGATTGGCCATTATCAACACAAATGACATCTAAATACTATCAATTCCACCACCACAACACACACACACAATCTTTAACACGCAAATATAAATGCAATAAACAGCAGAAAGAGAGACAAAGATAGCTATTGCAATAAACAGCAAGAAGAGAGACACTATGCTCAATAGTATGTCTTTAACTCTAAATTTCCTTCAATTGTAAGTGCTTTGACTTAATTTGAGTGCATTAACATATTATCAACATCATCAATTATCATCACTAGAGTCAACGTTGACATCAACATCATCATAACGTTGACATTATCATCCTCATCTTGAATCATCATCTAGAATCATGTAATCCTTTTGCATAGATATACATTTGATTAAGATAAACTGAAAAGAGACTTCCTATCATAATTGGCCATTTTAAAACCAACATCCCTACTAGGATGGTAAGGAGATTTATATAATTCAATTAGCTAGGCAAAAAAAAACATACCTATTTTCTTTCTGCCAACTCCACCCATTCCCATCAACTATCTTCTTCCAGAAAAGAGACCTATATTATTAGGACAAAAGAGGAAAAGTTTTAAAAGGTTAATAAACTTGTAAAACATATATTCTGAAATTGAAAACTAAACTTCTGAGTCTTTAATTCCCATTAATAAATTGTTCGAGCATCACATCATAACAATATAATATATATGTATGTAGAAACAAAAACAAAAACAAAAAAATCAGTATGTAAAACATGAATAAATAAACGTAACCAATAGCTAAAAATGCCAAATAAAATTTTAGAAAAAATATTGAGTTTGTTACCTGATGACTGAGGAGACATGTTTCTTGAACCTTGTTCTTGTTAAATGTTAAGGCCCGATGCTAACCCTAAAAATAAGAAAACACTCAAGTTGTGAGGAAGAGATTTCACAATCTCACTCATAACAATTAAAATACCACCATCTAAGTACTATCTGTATCATGTATCAACCCAACCCAACTATGCTTTTAGTCAAAATGTTGGACAACTATCCATAGAAAGAGATGTGATAACGGATAAGTGTGATTAACACATATTATAATTAACTCTTATGTTAAATTAATCAATAACAAAGTACAGTGCATCAGTTTAGGAATAATCTTCAAAATTAACAAATCAATTTCCTGATATTCTGCATTCTAATAGCAAAAGAAAATCAAAAACAAAAATTTGAAAATAAAAATATGGCAGAAAGATTGAATATATCCTTTGTACATTACACAGATTGTATTTCTATGTGAAACAAAACATCTAGGATTTCTCAATGGGGTGGGCTAAATCAAAATATATCAACCAAAATAAAATGTTGTTTAATTCAATTTTAGTTAACTAACAATGTTTCTTTAGACAATTGACTGATTAAGGCATAAAAAATCCTATTTGGGTAATTAATAATAAAATAAAATAAAAATTACCGATTTATTTTCTGAACAATTCACCACTCAGTACCTTATCTCTGCTTTTGACCAATTTACTAATCCTATTTGAGAATGTACTAGTGGAAGCAGAGTGTGAGGTAGTTCATGGCAAGCCCCTTCCAACGCTATAGAATTCACTCAAAAGCATGCTTTTTGTAAGTATTTTAATTTTCAAGAAGTAACTTTAGAGATTTACCCTATATTAACTACTTTTGCTTGTCAAAGTTCTTGTTATGATTTTTTTTTTTAGTTCTGAAAAGATTTACATCTTCAAAAAGCTTGGCATGTTGATAAAATTGTTTCACATTCAATCTCTACAGATCTCTAATCCAATTCAGATTCCTTTCTTTTCTTTTCTTTTTTTTTTGTCTTTTTTCCTTTTTCATGCCCAGATTCAAATTTTCTTGTAGACATAATTGACAACAAAAAAAACAGAAACACAAGTTATAGAAATAAAAATATATATATTTGTTTTGCTGAAATAAAATGTAGATTACGGTGATTACCTCAACATGCAATGCAAATTTTGTTACTTCATATTGTAAAAAAAAAAATTATATAAAAAAGATCATAAAAAATTTCACCAAATAGGATATAGTTTGCAAAACAAGAATTACAGAGCTTGAAAAGTTGATTTAGAAAAAAAATTAAAACAAAACCCATACATACAAGTTAGCAGTTGCTGAGAAGCTTGAGAGTTGAGAGACAGCGGCTGAAGCTTGTGAACGGCGAACCCGAACTGGAACAACGGCCCATGGAAACTGAAAGATATGGGTTTTGATTTTCGGAACAATCTGAAATGATATGCCGATATGGGTTTTGATATAGGTAATAGGTTTTCAACTTTAGATTCTTGCAGACTAAACTGAAATATATGGGTTTTGAACTTTCTGATTCTTGTAGATTTTGTAGTTTGCAGTTGCAAAGAGAGAGAGAGAGGAAGGGGCAAGTTGAAAGTTGAGAACGAGAATAGGGATGGAGGCGATTGGGGAGGCTGAAATGATTTGCCCTAAAATGCAAATCTGGTCAAACCTACCAGTCATTGGGGAGGCTGAAATGATTTGCCCTAAAATGCAGATCTGGTCAAACCTACCGATCAAAAAGCGTACCAGAGTAGTAGAATTTGGCTGATTTGATTCTCACGTAATAACAATGATATTTTTGGTGTTTGGTGTTTTCAAACCCAACAATAATTTATCACCAAAAAATAACTACTAAAATTTTGAACTACTTTACTTTTGTGTTTTTTGTTGACCCATCACCCATGGTCTATATATTGTGAGGCCCCATAAATTTTGAGGCTCTAGGCCACCGTTTTTATCGCCTTTGGGTCAGGATCGGTCCTGTGTTTATTTGGCTTGGACTTGTTATTTTATTTTAGTATGATGGCTGAATTAACTTAGGCTTGATTGGGTGGACTAATTCTATTAGTAATTTTTTTTTTTGACTAGGCTAAAATTAGAAAGAAACAATCTTTAATTGTTTTGATGACTCAAAAGAAAGGAAAAGTTCATAGACGGTCATACATGTATTCACCATCCAACGATAATTGTAAATGTGCAAAGCATTTCGGGATAATTCAGTCTTCTAATCTTGAGGGCCCATAAATTCTGAGGGCAAGTTCAAAGTTGATAACAAGAATAGAGATGGGAGGCGATTGGAGAGGCTGAAATGATTTGCCCTAAAAATATTTTTTTGGTTTGGTGACCTATCATCCATGGGTTTAAAAATTTTGAAAATTTTAAGGCCCAACGCAACAGCCTTTGTCGCCTTGGGTCAGGGCAGGCCATGGGCTTATTTGGCTTGAGCCTTTATTTTAGTACGGTGGTTTAGTTGACTAGCTGAATTGGGTGGGTTAATTTTGGAATGTGCTAATACCATTAATAATTTTTATTTAGGCTGAACTAAAATTAGTATAGTAATTTTTTTTTTTTTTTTTAGTGGGCTCAAGTCTACTAGAGCCCACCTACATCCACCCTTGAAAGAGAGAGAGAGAGATGTAGAGAGAGAAAGAGTAGGATGTAGAGAGAGACACTTTCAGCTATGGAGTATACTGTTTGTTAGGGACCGACTCTCTGCAGTGAATTTGTCTTCGGTTTCCAATAGTTACCAATAGAGTACCGAATATTTAGAAGTGCATTAATGCCAATTTGAAGAGAAATTATCTTCGTTTTTTTTTTTAACCCCCTTACAAGAAAACACTCAGGCCTGATTAGCGCGGCAACTCAGGCGAGTTGGGCAGGTTTGATGTATAATTTAAGTTCAACCCACCATATAAAATGCTAAACCCAAATTCACCCCTAATCATATTCTCAATCTTATTTACTCAACCCGAACCGGAACCCAACCCATCCTACTACTTTTAAATTCGGGTTTGTAACTCTGGCTTAGATTTTGTGGTAAAACTTTGAGTTAATTTGGATTACTCATATGGATAATCTTCCCACCGAAAATTTAATATGATCTTAAAATTAGTTTTAGATTAAATTATTTTTAAACAAGAAAAAGTTCAAACACTTTTTGTAGATTCAACTTTCTTTGTTAAATCTTAACCTATTGTATGTTAATATTTAGGAGACTTAATTTTCTAAGATTTTGTTTATTTTAAAGTAAAAATATATATATAAAATAATATTATAATTTGGGTTCAGATTGACTGGGATTGTTAGCACTTCAACCCAAACCCAACTCTAATTCAATTTGAGTTGAGATTTCAACCCAAGCCCAACCCTATTTTAAAAAATGATTGCCCAAGACTACGAAAAATCAGGCTGGGCTTGAGTTTCCCAACCCAAGTCCTACTGGTTACAGATTGACCATTTCAAGAGTGAAACTCATGCGGGTGTGCACTGAGAAGGTGATCTGTTTCCTTTTATAATGAGAATTTACTATTTTATCCTTATACTTTATGTTATATATAAAATTATCCTTATTGTTGGAAGAAAGTTAATGTTTATTACCAAATGACCAATTGGTCAACCGGTATCACCCCTTCCTCTCCAAATGGGAGGTTGGGGGTGCCCTAATTGCTTTAACTTTTTTAAAAAAAAAAAAAGAAAAAAAAAATAGTTAAGGTTTATTATATTTCTAAATGTGAGTGGCTATTATTTGAGTGGAAAAATTATAAAAAAATTACTTGAATAATTTGAGTTGGAAATTAAAAATTGCCAATGGAATCGGGATCTTAAATGATTGTAGAGATAGGCTAGGCTAGATATTTATTTACTAATTCATTTTGGATGGGCCGGGAAAGGATGCCCACTCATTGCCATCCCTACTACCTTCCCGTGTTCATGCATCAGACATTATTGCGTAGACATGAAGATTAATTACAATGCTCATTATCAAAAGTTAGTAACAGTAAAAAAAATCAAACTTGTGAGTTGTTTTAACAATACAATTTAGTACTAACATTGATTTTTTTTATTTTTATAAAATATTAAATTCATTGTTAAATGCATAATTAATTATAAAATTGGAAAAGCAGTAGTTTAAATGAACTTGAATTTCAACTCAGAGACATGATATACCAAATATGTCAGGGAGAAGGTAATCTTAGACTTCAATTCAACTCAAGTTAAGTTCAACTCAAAGGGACATGATGTACCAGTATGTTAGGGAGAAGGTAATCTTAGACTTCAATTCAACTCAAGTTAAGTTCAACTCAAAGGGACATGATGTACCAGTATGTTAGGGAGAAAGTTGTTGTTCATACCTTTGATTCGATTCATAATCAAATTTAAGTTTTTGCGTGCGAAATTATAATTTTTCTAAATTAATTGGCGTTCTATACCGAGGTATCCCCTAATAAATAAATAAAACAACCAATTCACGAGGTCAATACCAATATACCACTGCCATATTCATATTGGCAAAAGCTTGTAGCATTATCAATGTGAGAGATTCCAATATCATATTGGTTTGACATATATGATATATCCACTTCACTGAAACTTCAATCCAAAAAAGAACTTGTTACCTTTTGAGTCTGAACATAAAGTAACCAACAGAAATTACTTCTAAAAGCTAGTCTCCATGAGACAACCATTAGGCACTTGTACACGTTCAAAAACAGTTTTCAAGATCAGAAAAATATTTAAAACTGAACCAATCACGCCCTCAAAAACTTAAATTTGATTATGAACTTGATATTTTGCTCTAGACAAGCAACTAGTAAGAATCTAGGGCAAAAATAATCAATCCTGCTGTTGAATAAATGTATAATCAACACCACTTGTTAAACAAATTATCAATCAACATAATCACAATTGACATATTTATCAAAATAAATTCCTAAATCGTATTGCAATAGGCCCTGTAAAATGCCGCAAATTGAATATTAAAAAATAAAAAAAAAATCCAATCTTGTAACAAGTAAATTCAAATAATAAAAGACAAAAGCAATGGAAAAATCCCATATGGCAACGCCATTCATGGAGTTTCAAAAAGGCCTGCTGATCAAACAACCAAATAATCAAGGAATAAGAAAAATGAAAACCAACCAATAGTCTCATTTTATCCTTGTTTGCAATTTCAGAATAGTTGATCAATCAAGCGCTTGCAACCGACCAATACCCGAAAGCTCTAACATGTAACACAATAAAATGTCAACCAGTTCTTCATCTAAGTACTCAATGCAGAAAGATTAACTATAACGGCTGAACGAAGTCCGGACCAAAACAAACAATAACAATCGAAAATTAACTCAATATCACTAAGCTATCCTCATGATTCAATATATGTCTGACGACAAAACCAATCTAGAACTATATGGAAGGCATACAGAAACACTGACAAGCACTAGTAATGACTTAACCATAAACCAATCACCACACATCAACCCTGGGGTGAGGTCTTGGCAACACTGCCAGACTGCACAGCCTGAGAAGCTGGCGCTGAACTGCCATCGGTAGGATATGCTGGAGTCTGTGAATAACCACCACCGTAAGAGCTGTTATATGGAGGTGGCTGCTGCTGCTGCCCATAACCTGGCTGAGCTACTGGCAGAGCACCGTAAGGTGGGGCTCCATATCCTGGTTGAGCCGTTGCAGTGCCATACCCAGAGGTTGGAGCTCGCTGGGCACCGGAATCAGTTTGAGCATAACCAGATTGAGTAGGAGCTGGTTGAGAATGGGGATACCCAGGCTGGGCATAGCCTCCTTGGACACCCGGTGACTGTTGGGCCTGCCCATAAGCTGTATGATTGGCTGGAGGCTTCTGAGCCTGAGGTGTTCCGTGGTCGGGGGCATCTCCATTAGGCTGCTGAGTCCCATAACCTGTCTGGGATGTTGGTGGTGTTGGGGATAAATAACTCCCTCCAACCCACTCAACGGTCGGCTGTTATTGAGAGTTAAATTCTTAATTCATCACACACAGCGGAAGCATCATCACATCACATTAACACAAGCATATATAGAGATAACAATCATGCACATCCACGCATAACACAATATTTTATATGGTTCACCCAACTTTAAGGTTACGTCCATGGAAGATAGAGATTTCACTATTATGAATAAAAGAAGAGAATATACAACCACATGTCAAAACCCCCACTCATTCACTCATCATCTCTTTTGAGACTACATTTATACACTCAAGAATTACATATACGCCCCCCTCTCCTTACAACACTCACCCTTAAACCCCTTACATCTTTTCCTCTTCTCTCTCTCTAAACCCCTCATACCTATCTCTATTTATAGAGTCTTCAAAACTCAATTCCTTGTTGGACAAGTATTCCTCAAATCCAATTCCTTGTTGGACAAGGATCAACTTACCTATAAGGAGTTACCATATCCATCTTCAACTCTAAAATAGCAGGTATAACTTCATTCCCAAATCTTTAGCCTTTTTTCCCAAGTTTCTGGATTCCAAAACCAATTAGGAAACATTTTCTCGCAGCTTCCAAAACAAAAAAAGAAACTAATTTTTTGCACACAAATTTTGAGCCACAAACCCAACAGGGGGCATTCCATAACCTGGCTGGGTAGATCCTTGAGGCGGATAACTAGCAGGGCTGGAGCTAGGCTGCCGACCAACATTGTATCCTGTTGAGATTTTATCTCTTATAATACAACTGTAGAATTGAATTATTTACTCCTTGATTTAGGACTAATTGGTCGGTAATTAGTTACCTATTTTAGTTAGGTCATATTTTATAAATTGGATGTAACACCATCAATGAATATACAGAATATAATTTCAATCCTTATATTTTTCTCTGAATTGAAACATAGTATCAGAGCCAGGTTTGAACAAGTAGCTTTGAATTGTTGTTCAACCATATCTTTGAAATTCATTGAATCATCCATTAGTTTTATTTTTTATTTCTTATTGAACCATACCACTCCACCATCATCACCCGGTCACAGACCCAACCAAAATTTTGACCCACGCCATCATCATCAATCAGATTCCCATTTTTGGACCAATCAAACTACAAAGGTTCACCATCAAACTCACATGTACAAGCTGGACCCCTTGACTCCTTTCCACCAATGGTGTTTTTTATTTCAAAGCAAGCATTAAACGACCTGCCTATGCAGTGGTACTGAATGCAGTAACATAAAGGAGTCCCCATCGCGAGCCACCGTTTTTTTTCCCATCGCACTATCCACCGGCCGTTCATCAATCAGCTGTGTCCCGGCCGGAGCCATCGTCAACGGTGGGTTCTTCTCAGATCAGATCAGCCACAGCCGGCTATTTCTTCTTTGCCGGCGACGCACTGCTACACCAATTTTTCTTCGCCGGCGACGCAAGCCACCTTGCCCGCCAGTTGTGTCCATAGCCGTCGCCGCTCTCTGCCGTCGTTAAATCTGTCGTTGCTGGATCTATTCTCTGCCATCGTGGCCGTCCCATATGCTCTTTGCCGTCGCTGTCGATTAAGCCGACTTTTTGTTGCTTAACAGAGACGCAAATAAGTTCCTTGAATATATATATATATATATTATAAAAAAAATGAGTGAAAAAAATATTGAATCATCTGGAGCAGACAAGTCTACCTACAAATGCACTCATTGCAACCAGATTGGTCATACTAAAAGTCGTCGTTTCAAACTTGTGGGATATCCGGAATGGTAGGATCATCGCTGTTGGAAGAAGAATTCAACGAAGACCTCTACTGCAGCAGTTGTTAAGACAACAGATAATGGTGGTAAGGTTTTCAATATTTCTTCACCTGTTGCTAATAGTGCATGGATAATTGATTCTGGTGCCACAGATCATATGACATTTGATTCTAAACAGGTCTCACCTCTTAATTCATCCTCACACAAATTTGTTTCTACTGCCAATGGGACTTCAACCCCAGTTCTTGGGAAAGATCTTTGACACTCACTGATAATCTGCATTTAGATTCTGTTTTAATTGTTCCATCTTTACATTATAATCTTTTGTCAGTTTTTCACATAACCACAGCTTTATCTTGTGTTGTCATTTTTTGGCCTGATTTTTGTGTGTTTAAGGACATCCAAACAAAGCAGACGATTGGTTGTGGTATTAGGCGAGGGAAACTGTATTACTTGGACTTGATGTCTAAAAGTTCTGACAAGTTACGACAAGCATTGAAAGTGGATGGTTCTGAGGGGGAGAAAAAGAAATCTGAAATCTGGCTGTGGCATCGACGTCTAGGGCATGCTTCCATTAGTTATCTGAAAAAATTATATCCTAGTTTGTTTGCACAATTTAATATTTCTAGTTTTCGCTGTGATGTTTGTGAAAAAGCAAAGAGCCACCGTGTTTCGTATCCATTATGTTTGCATAAAAGTCCGCTTCCTTTTATGATTATACATTCTGATGTTTGGGGTCTGTCCAAAGTCACTACTTTAGGTGGATCCCGTTGGTTTGTTACTTTTATTAATGATTGTACCAAGATGACCTGGTTGTGCTTGATGAAGTCCAAAGGTGAAGTGAACTTATTGTTTCAGAAATTTCATAAAATGGTTAAAACTCAATACAATGCACATGTTCAGGTTCTTCGTAGTGACAATGGTGGAGAATATCAGAGTTTTGACCTTCAGCGGTATTTGGAAGCACATGGAACTATTCATCAAACCACTTGTTCCAATACGCCCTAGTAGAACGGGGTTGCATAGTGAAAAAATCGACACTTGTTGGAGGTTGTTCGTGCTTCATTGATCGAAGCGCATATGCCATTATCGTATTGGGGAGAAGCACTTACCTCTACAGCATATCTAATTAATCGAGTACCTATTGCCTTCCGGACACCATTGCAGGCTCTCACTAACACAGTTGTTGCCCCAACAGTCCCAAATCTACCTCCTCATGTCTTTGGTTGTGTAACATTTGTACACCTCCATAAGCATCAATGCAACAAGCTAACTCCTCGAGCATTGCGATGTGTTTTTCTCGGATATGCTACTCATCAAAAGGGGTATCGCTGTTATCACCCTCCAACTCAACGAATGCTTATCACAATGGATGTTGTCTTCCATGAAAACTCGATGTATTTTTCCTCTACGTCTGAATTTTAGGGGGAGTACCAGAACGAAATTCAGACTCTAGATTATGATTATCACACTTTTGAGGACATCAATTGTAGTGTTGATGACTCACAAATTAGACCAACCAATTAGGAATCAGGCGAATTGGATTTTAGTAGTATAAATTTGGATCAAAGTGGTGATAAACGCCCAGAAATGGAAAGTATGGTGCCAACCCTATTGTCGTCCGAGTTCGAGTCTCTCGCAACTTATATATCAAACCAATCGCCTGCTGAGGATGTTCCTGATTTAGTGCCTGAGCCACTCAGAAAACAATTATCTCCGCGTCACACTAGAGGTATTCCTAAACCCACATATGAACCCGAACTTTCTAGTAAAGTTAAATATCCCATGAGCAATTATGTGTCGAACCATCGTTTGTTAGAATCAAATTTGTCATTTATAAATCAATTATCTACTATATCTATTCCTAACAGTGTGCAGGAAGCCTTAGCTGACCTTAGATGGAAAGCAGCTATGAACGAGGAGATGAAATCCTTGCAGAAAAATAAAACTTGGGAACTCATTGATCCTCCACCAGAAAAGAAACTAGTTGGATGTCGATGGATTTACACTGTAAAGTATAGAACCGATGGCACAGTTGAACGCTTTAAAGCAAGATTGGTGGCAAAAGGTTACACCCAAACCTATGGAATCGATTACACAAAGACGTTTGCACCTGTAGCCAAAATCAACACAGTTCGAGTCTTGTTGTCTTTAGTTGCGAACTTGGATTGGCCATTGCAACAATTCGATGTGAAAAATGGCTTTCTACATAGTGAATTATCTGAAGAAGTCTACATGAATCTCCCACCAGAATGCATGATACCTGAAAAGTATAGTCGGAATGTCTGCAGGTTAAAAAAATCATTATATGGGTTGAAACAATCTCCAAGAGCATGGTTTGGAAGATTTATAAAGTCTATGATAGCCTTTGACTACCGTCAGAGCAATTCAGACCACATGTTATTTCTGAAGAAACAACAAGGTAAGATCACTACACTTATTGTATATGTAGATGACATGGTGGTTACAGGGAATGATCTTGAAAAAATGAAGGCTCTCAAGAAGTACTTGTCCAGAGAATTCAAAATGAAAGATCTAGGTCCTTTGAGATATTTTCTTGGGATTGAAGTATCTCGATCTAATAAAGGAATCTTTCTATCTCAAAGAAAATATGCCTTAGATCTGTTACAAGAGACTGGTATGACAGCAAGTCAACCAGCTGAGACACCGGTGGAAGAAGAACTAAAGTTATGTGTTGAGTCCAATCAAGTACCTGCTAATTAAGGAAGATACCAAAGACTTGTAGAGAGATTGATGTACTTAGCACACACAAGACCGGATCTGACTTATGCATTAAGCATTGTTAGCCAGTTTATGCATGATCTTAGAGAGCAACATACGAATGCAGTTATGTGCATTTTGAGGTATTTGAAATCTGCTCTTGGAAAATGAATTTTGTTCACTAAAAATGCTGGTTATCAAAACATAGATGCATATACTGATGCTGACTGGGCTGGAGCTATAGATGATAGGCGATCTACTTCTAGTTACTTTACTTTTGTAGGAGGTAATCTTGTTACATGGAGAAGCAAGAAACAAAATGTTGTTGCTCGCTCGAGTGCAGAAGCTGAATTCAGAGGTATGGCGCTTGCACTTTGTGAAGCATTGTGGTTAAGACTTCTCTTGCGGGATTTAAGTTATCTACCTAGGCAACCTATTCGACTATATTGTGAGAATAAAGCAGCATGTGATATTGCTCATAATCCGGTTCAACATAATCGTACAAAGCATGTCGAAATAAATAGATTCTTCATTAAGGAGAAGTTGGACGGAAAAATTGTAGAGTTGCTTAAAATTCATTCTGAGGATCAACTGGCCGACGTTCTCACCAAAGCAGTCTCAAATCAAGTGTTTTCAAAAAATTTAGACAAGTTGGGCATATGTGACATCTATGCCCCAACTTGAGGAGGAGTGTTGATATTTTATCTCTTATAATACAGCTGTAGGATTGAATTATTTACTCCTTGATTTAGGGCTAATTGGTAGGTAATTAGTTACCTATTTTAGTTAGGTCATATTCTATAAATTGAATGTAACACCATCAATGAATATACAAAATATAATTTCAATCCTTATATTTTTCTCTGAATTGAAACATATCCTTGTTGGCCCATCGCAGATGACTGAACAGGTGGAGATGCTTGGTTGGTATTCCCTTGAGCTCCATACGAAAGTGCCTGACTGTCCGGTGTTGGGTTGGTCACATTACCATAACCAGTAGTAGAATTATAACCATGCTGCTGATCATACCCTGTATGAGGATTTGGCTGTTGCTGTCCATAACCAGGTTGGGCAGCAGGTGCATTATATATATATATAGACATATGTATGAGGCATGACTCTATTTTGTTGTAAAATTTGATTAATTGTAAAGACCAATGTATATTCCTAATTCAAATGGGGTTAATGATGTTGTAATGTAACATATGGTTGATGTTTACATCCATGGAAAATGTAGTATGTCATTTACAATGTGTTAAAACAGGTTTAGGTCGATTGTACAGCTTTTACATAGTTCATTTTTCTCATTTTTATCATTTCAGCATTTCCAGTAGCAGGTCCAGGGCTCTCAGAGCCATTTCGGCCGACCGAAATGGTGCTTCGGTCGACTGATCCATTACATAGCCTCGGAACTTTTACTGTGTGCACAACCGGCCAACCGAAATGTCTATTTCGGTCGACCGGTTCAAAAAGGGTCATTTCGGCTGACCGAAACCCCATTTCGGTCGACCGAAATGAATCTGTTTTGGTGCACTTTGTTCTTACTCTTGTATAAATAAACCCCCCAGCCTCATAATGTTATTTAGAGTCCCCTTATGTACATTTTTGGCATAACAACGATGAATGAACACTAGACATGAATGTGTTTGACTTAGGTGACCTTGGGTCCGGATAAGGACCCGTTTAACGATTCGGACCTACGAGTTCGGGTCTTTACAATGTGTATCAAATAATTATCCATAATTAATTTCGTTTATAAGTGTCTTAAATTTTTTTTTGAGTAATCATCCATAACCTTGTGCCCTAACTATGCAAAGATACAAACATAATTCTAAAATTTTGGAGTTATAGTTTCAGACCACACACAC